CAGAACCAATTAAAACCTCTCTGACATACCATAGGCATGACAACCCCAATTCCATCTCCTTTGTGGCAACAGACAAGTCATAACACCTGTGTTACTTTCTCTGAGACTCCACAGCTGTGATAGCCCCAGTTTTCCCCTCTCTGTGACATCACAACTGTGGGAACCCCAATTTACGCCTGCCTGTGACAGCACAGCAGTCAAAGATGCACTTTCCACCCATTATGACATCACAGCACTGACAGGCCAAATTTCACCCTTTCTGTCACCCCACAGATTGAACAAGCCCAACTTACACCTATCTGTAACATTTACAGCGGTGATAGTGCCAGTTTTCTCCTCTCTGTGACATGATATCAAAGACAAGTCAGAATTCATCCCCTCTGATAAGCCACAGCAGTGAAAGCCTCAGTTTTCTCCTCTCGGTGAGATCACTGCAATGACAAGTCCAGTTTACACCTCTCTGTGACACCACAGTGGTGACAGACGCATTATTCCCCTCTCTGGGACATCACAGTCATGACAGAACCAATTTAAATCTCTCTGTGACACCACAGCAGGGACAGACTCAGGTTTCCTCTATCTGTGACATCACAGCCACGGCAGCCTTAATTTCAGCCCCAAAGGAACACCACAGCAGTGACAGACCCAGAATTCCCCTCTCCGTGACATCACAGAAGAGACAGAACCGATTAAAACCTCCCTTTGATATCATAGCCATGACAACCCCAATTCCATCTCCTTTGTGGCAACAGACAAGTCATAACACCTGTGTTACTTTCTCTGAGACTCCACAGCTGTGATAGCCCCAGTTTTCCCCTCTCTGTGACATCACAACTGTGGGAACCCCAATTTACGCCTGCCTGTATCAAAACAGCAGTCAGAGATGCACTTTCCACCCATTATGACATCACTGCACTGACAGGCCAAATTTCACCCTTTCTGTCACCTCACAGATTGAACAAGTCCAACTTACAGTTACTTGAGTTTTGGTAGGGGTGTTAACAGATGACTTGAAGGGAGGTTTGAAAAAGGAAAAGGCCAAATTCACCTGTGCATGTCCTCCTCTGGACTACCTGGAGAACCCTGACTAGGGAATACAGAACAAAATCAGTTTCATGTCCAGCAGTTCCACAGGAAGTTACACTCTTTTGGGACATTTAGCAATTTAATTTTAATTTACTCTGAACCAAGCACCTAATCAAACCAGGTGACACTATAGTATGTTCAAGTTGCCTCTGGCAGGGTACATTTTATTTCAGCCTAAATCAGCTTCAAACTTAGTGGCAGAAAATCAAGAGTAGCTTAGTCATAATTCAACGAGTATTAAAAGTTTCTCCAAACTTCAGATAGATTGTTTTTGTGTTTGAACCATTATAATAAGTAACAGAATACAGATTACATAGTGACTAGGTTTATAATAGTAATTCAGATAATAAAATATCCACTTCATCATGCTCAAAGCAGTATTTATTAAAGAGAGCATCAAGGTAAGTCAATGCCTAATGAAGTTTCTATCCTACAAATATGTAAACAAGTTGACAGCAAGTTATTACTATAATATAAAAATTAAAGCTTACATTGCATTTTTTTAAAGCTACTACCTTCAGTCCAAATGTATATTCTGTGGTTTGTAGCATTTAACAGTATAAGTTCTTGAAAAATGTTAAAGTATTGCCTTTGCACATACATTTTTGTAGAAAAAATACCTTAAAATACCAACTTCCCATTAATAAAAGCAACACCAAAAGTAAAACATATTTTTGTCATGAACAGTACGTTGAATGCGTCCAGAATTTTCTCCACCATTCTCTTTTACTAAGTTATCTTCTATTTTAAAATTCATTATATTTTGCAAAATGTATGTTGGATATTATTTGGTTAGTTTCACATACCAAAGGAATTAGCAATATTGGCAATTACATTGTAATCAAAGTCCAGCCTAAGCTTATTTGCAGCTGAGGCCACCAATTTAATCCTCATCTCAGACTGGGTATTTTAGAAGTACAGTAGGCTCTTGCTAAGAAAGCTGTCAGTTCAGATATATTTTGGAAAGGCTTCAAACCTTTATACGATTTAAATGGAAATACATATTCCCCTTTAAAACACTTTTAAACCCCAAGTCTTTGTTTAAGTACACCAGCAGTCCTGTTGGTGGCAGTCAGTCAGTTCTCAGAAAACACTTTTTTCAGAAGATTAGATAATTTGGCATGAACTACATTTTACATTCCAAATCCACAATGAATAATAAACATCAATTTTTAACATTTTTTTCAAGAAGTTTCCTGTAAGAGCTAGACAGATGACTTCTGCAGTTGCTAAGGCAAGAAAAGTTTGAAAATTTCCTGTAACTAAAGTTAAAAGATTGTAATATTTCAAACCCAAACTAAACTAAATTCAGTAAGGAGAACTATGTATCACTGGGATGAAAGCTAATCATGCCATTGTGTGCATTGTTAGCATCAGCTAACAATGAACAGTAAGAGGAAAAAAATTAAGATAATCCAGTGAACAAGTTTGAGGATGAATTCAAAGATCAAAATCAGTCTGAGATATAAAAAGAAAATATTTTTATAGTTGGCTATTAGAATGAAGACAACAGCTAGGAAAACATTGAAGATTTGATCATGTAAGATCTGAAAGAAGTACATTTTTATGCAAACAGTAATGAATATTAATAACACTGCCAGCTTTCCTAATTCCATGCAAGTTCCAGATAGAGGAGTATTTATTTAGTCTTTATCACTACTGAGCTGGCAAGTTAAATCTGCCAGAAGTTACAGCCTCAGGTACATAGAGACACATAGAGCAACTTCCTGACAAGAGTGTGGTAGAGCCTAAAATACTGCAATGATCTCTAGTCCTAGAGATGGGGTAAAAACACAACTCCCCAAACAGGATCTACATGAACTTGTAAGAGGAACTGTAATTCTGAAAAAATGGCTTACCCTACTCCTTCATGCAGGATTATGACTTGTAGAAAGAGGATCTTTTTTTGCAATGCTTGCTGGTAAAACAAGCATGATTAGTTACAGAAAAATGTGTCAGCAAATGCTCAACTATACAGTAAGAGTGTCCATCTCAGGCCCTGGTCAGTCTACTATTCAGAGACTGGTGAGATGCAAATACAAGAGCTCTAGGTTCCTTAATTTCTTATGTACCTTAACATACAGACAAGCCTCAGGGAAACAGATGAGAAGCACAAACACTCCTGGGGCAGAAGTCCCACACTCCCAGGGAGGTTTTTTTTTTGATCACTCCTTGCCTACAGCTCCTTAGAAAAGCTGGATAACTAGGTACAGTTTTGTTTAGGGGATGGGAGTTTTGCACTGTACTCATTTGGGAGACAGCAGCCTTCCTGTCTTCTGGTATCAAACTGTGTTTCTGAGTTAAGTATTACAAACTTCATCCTTTTAATCACACATGGCCTGCTGGGACTTCTCACTAAAGCACCGAGGTTCCTCAGAGATGCTCTAAGTGCTGTTGCATTTTGAGCACAGCTTTGCACATGGCTTGCAGACATTTCCCACAGCTAGAGAGGAACAACACCAACAGCAGATGATTGTCAATACCTGGGGGAAGGTCTGAGGATTGAAGTCAGAGATCGAAGGATATGAGGAATCCATGCTATGTTCTCTTTGAGGCAAGTAACAAGGTCTGTTCCAAAGATACATAATAAAGTACTATCTGCAAGAAATGGGTTGTTTCTCCCTAAAGCCACAGTAGAAATATAGTCACACAGAAAATTAGAATCAGTCTAATTCTCAGAACTGCAGAAAATAATACCAAAGGTGACCTAAAAAAGTAATTTTGACAAATCACTGCATTGAAAGTCATTTCAAAATTAATCTCTGTGTAGATATGCCATGGGATTCTAGGTTATAAAATGATTGACTAAATCAACTAGATCTTTAGAAGGAGCTATTTATATGCAAATATTTTAGTAATAACTTTAGCAATAAAATAAAGTACTACACAGACCATCTTAGAATCCACATATAGTATGAAATATACACTCATACATGTTCTAAAGTACATATATATAAAAACATATTTTTTCTTAAAGCAATTTAGAGCAAAACTAAACCAGGGCCTTACTAACCTATCATATATGACTTTACGGCAGCATGACTTGAACACACAGCTCATGGGCTGATAAGATCCCTGAGGTGCATCACTGGAATTGCTACAAGTTTTACTTACCACAATTTTAACCAAAATCTGACTTAAATCATGTTATATCTCTTTAGATGGAGGAAGACAGACACGAACAAAACAACCCACAAACAAACAAAAAAAACACAAAGCCCCAAAACCACAAAACCTACACAGCCCAGTAATACATAGAAAGGCACCTGATAATATCATTAGTAGCAGATATCTACAGCATCCTAAGTGTACTTAAGGAATCAAGATGAATTTTAAAAATATCATGAAATACAAGAATTGCTGGCATTCAAAATGTAACTCTAGCCTATGTAGCAAGTCACTAAAATGACGTGCAGTTGTAAATCATTAAGAGTGTGCAAAACTATACAGTTTTGCATAAAGTGCTGTATGTACCCCAGTTTGCTAAGCTTGGCAATATGACACAAAATGATGAAGTTAAGGATGTGTCCTACCTACCTCATCTTTCCTTTTCCTTTCCCACCATCACCCACTGTCTTTTAAACTGTACATTTAAAAATTACACAAAGGCCTTTTCAGGAATTGTAGTTCAGAAAAATGTTTCAAGTATATTTATCTTTCAGTGTAAACTTGGGGACACTATGGTTCAATTTTCACAAGCTCTACATACTTACAGCTTCTCTTAATTCAATTTGATTTGCAATTATTTCAATCTGTTCAATACCTCTGGCAAAGGAGTATTTCCTATTACTCATTTTACTCCTATTTAAGCAGTGCTGAAATCCATGCTGTAACTTGTCCAGATTTAAATCTAAACATGACACAATTATAGAAAAACAGAGTAATACTTTATCTGATCACTTGGGCTTACAAAACCAAGTCCTACCATATCTGTTCATACAGACTCATTCTAGGCATTGTACACAGATCTTTAACACTTGAATTCAAGTTACTATAGTACAGCAGTTTCTCTTGCAGGAATTGTGCGGTACACTTAAAAGTATACAACGGGTCTCTTCTTTACTCTGTATTTTAGTGATCCGTATCGTATCTCAGGGGAAAAACAAAATTATAATGAAATACTAAGTCACATGAAATGGAAATATGATTCACCTCCCCACTAATCCTATTTAGCAAATGTCTTCCAATGTGCTTTGGACACCTGGTTTCACTAAGGGAATCTACCTATGACTGAATAAGATAAAGTTTCAACAGAATTGGGCAAGAAGAGTAAGTATCAATTGTTTTCCTGGAATGACCCAAAAACTTTTATGAGACTTCACAGAGATTTATACTGGAGTATCTTTAAATTTTGTGATGCATGCACTAGGATGCTAAGTAGGATCTTCTCTTTGTAGATCACAAAGAGTCAGGCTGTTTGTCTATGGCAACTAAAAAATTCTGAATATTTTTTATCTATTAAACAGCAGATGTTTAAGTGTGCACAACACACAGATAATATTATTGTTATCCATACCCCTTTCAAGGCGAACACTTCCTGAAGTTAGGCTTGGTGGTGCCAAAATTAGCATTTCAAATACAGAGTCTGTTTCGTCTCCTCTCCCTTACTCCTTGCTTCATTAATTTCATACATATATTTCCCCTAAACACATCAAACTACAAAAGCTCCAAACTTAGATATTGTTGTCACATGCTTTCTTCCCCATTTAGCATTCTGGAACCCAGTTATTGTTGACAACTTCTCCAATATTAAAAATAAAAATAAATTTCTGCACTATGAATAATGCAGAAATATACACTGCATATACACTGAAAGAACAAACTCAATTAACCAGGATTATACTTGCCTCTTTACGTCCTTTAATAGTTTTCACAGACTTCATACTCTGAGTTCTGCGAAGGCCTCTCTGAGCAAACATTTCATCCTCTGAATGTGTCCTCTCCATCTCTTCATCTGTTTTTATCATCTCCAGGATTTTTTTCCAGTGGGGTTTTGTAACCTTTAAAAAAAAATATTTAAAAAATAGTAGCTGTAACTTTTTGACTTCTAAGAAAGCAGCAATTTTTATCTTGATTTATGCTTTTAGATGATGTGCTTATTTCAAAACAGAAACATCTACTTTGCCACGAGTTTGGTACTTCTAATCCTGCCACTTGGATCCACAAGTATGTAATGCAGTGCTTCTTCAGTTGTCAAGACTGAAATCACAAGTTTGCTGACATCTTCTGCTTTACACTGAACTACAAAAACTTTAGTGATCGTCTAAAGAAGTACCTAAGATTTTAGGACACAATCCACATGAGAAGGTGGTTACACTTATAATAAACCTTTAAAGATCCCTCCCAATACAAACCATTTGATGACTTGCATTCATAGGATCTTTCTGCATACACTCATCCTCCTGCATTTTTAATACCAAAGCTTCTTTCATTTCGGTAACACACCAAAGTACTGTTAAGAGTTGTTAACATACTACAAAACCAGGACCAAGATTATTTCCTAAGACTCTCACTAGAGGGCACTAACTGCTTAAAAATACACTCCGAAAGCTCCTTGGGGTCCAACAGCCTCGAATCTCCACCACAGACCTATCGCAAAGCTACCAAATCCAGTCTGATTCCTTCCTCCACTGAACACTCCTTTTATCCCAGAATCTACTGGCTGTAACACTCAGGAACACCTTTTAGACTCTAAACCAAATTTTATCAATGACCTGTGTACATTTTATCTTAAGCCAATATTTTATTTAGGCTTATCTAATTTTTTTCATCAATTTTTTCCCCTAGAAATTAGAATCACATCATCCATTCCACAGCTACTTGAGACAAACATTCGGTCATTCTCTTCTGCCATTTTAGAGGCAACATGTCTCTGCTTCCAGTACAGTTTCAATTAATCTTTTTCAATACAGAAGATTTGAATCACATCTCTTTCTCTGTTTCAGAGTAGCAGTGTTTGCAGTGACATCAATACTTTTTTATCTGCATTTGTAATACCTGATGCATTGGCATCCCATCTGCCTTTTTCACAGCAAGAGCACTGCCAGCTCAGCATCATCCTACAATCCACATCCTAAAACTAGGCCTTTTAAATCAATTTGCACAGAACTCCTGGCCCAGACAAAAAATAAGATCCAGCTCAGCACAAGAGAATATTGCTACACAGTGTTCCTAAATCTATGCGTACTTTTGATCTTTTTTAAGTTCCTAATGCTGAAGAAAATTCAAAGAAAGCATGAGAGGTGTATGCTAGATGAGACCAGGACCAGAAAAAAATTAATTAAGTTCAACTAGCTGTAAGAAAGCTTTTTGACATTTGAGACTGAATCTCACAATCGGTGATTATTTATATAGTATAAACTGAAGAATTTTTTTAAAAAAAATAGAGCATTTTTAAGCTATTTCAGACAGGTAAATAATGCTCTCTTACTGAGGAACAGATCCTGCACAACAGCTGCAGTGACATTATCTCTAGTGCAGCTCTTTGTGAATTCTTGGCTTTCTCTCCAGCCAGAGGCTCCAGTTCACACTGCCCTGCACAGGATACCTTCTGGAAACTCCAGTTCAGATTAGGTCCCTTCAGCTGGTCACCTATTCCTTAGAATGGGCTAGCACACTATTCATGAAATTCCTTGGACCCCACAAATGCTATCCCTCCCCAAAATGGGGGGATGAGAAGGAATGACAGTCTTAGGTGAAAAGAAATAGCCCAGACCCACTTCTTTTGTGGGAAACAGCAGTTCCTATACATCACAGTCTTGCTATTTAAAAATTACGTAGTTAGCAGACCTTCAGCAAAACCTTCCTTCAAGTGTCAGAAGCTCAAGGGCAAAGTGATGATGACAATAACAGTATATGTAACATAATAATGAAATAATACTATCTTTCAACAAAACCATATATTGATCACCACACACCATCTTCTGAGTGTTAAAAGACATCAGTCTGTTATGACAACTTGATGCCTTTATTATTCGTATCACCATATACAATTTTACATTTTGATCTATTACTACAAATCTGGTGTTGTGGTTTTAAAGCAGTAACTAAAAAATAACTAGAAAACTTACTTATTTCTTGCTGCGAGATGTGGATTAGAACAAGAGCAAAACAGGCTTAAAACTTAAAAGGAATAAAGAAAGTTTATTAACAAAAACTACAAGAATAAGAAACCAGAATAAAACCTCCAGAACAACCCTTTTCTGCCTCACTACCCAACCATTCCCTTCTTCACATGACAACATAGAGACAAAAAAACTCTTGTTTAAAACAGTCCCAATTCTTGCTAGAGTCTTTTCATCAGTCTTTGTAAAGAAACAGAAGTCTTCTTCTGCTATCTATGGAGTTTCTCACAAGAAAACTATTTCTTTTATAGCTTTTTATTTCTCTGATGCCAGCTGCCTGGAAATTCTGCCATCGGTTCTCTCCTCTCGTTTCACATCACTCTGAGGTGTGTTATGGGTCAAATGAGTCTAGGGATGTCATTTTTAAGGATGAGTCATTCAAAGGCAAAAGTTCTCTTCATGTGTCTCTGTGAGCTACTCTGGAAACAGAAGTGTTCTCTTTGCCTCTTAAAGGCTGCAAATCTTCAACTATTACTTCTCCCCCTCTGTTCCAGCATCTCACAGTACCACAACCACTTCACCATTTGCTCAAAATCCTCACTTTGAAACACTCCATTCCTCCCAATATACTGTCATGAATTAAAGTTTTTTTCAGAACACTACTGTACATCTTCATAGCTTTAACAGAAAAATATTTCAGCTTATTAAAGCATCTTTTTCTTTCTCTACCTCCTCTGAGGCTTAATTCCTTTCTTCACTATCTTTGATAGTTTATAGGGTCTCTTTTACATGCTGATCACTTTCTCTCTCTGGAAAAAAGGATTAATCTGCAAGTCTCATCTGGGTAATGAAAGGGTTAAAATCTTGCCCAGGCCTGGTAGGTGGTTCTCTTATCTCTGCCAGAGCGGTGGCTAGAGATGTCTGCGATGGCCTCTCCTTACTTGGCAGTCTCTGGTAAAACTCAGCAGTGGCAGAAACTGCAGCCGAGCCGGGGGAACTG